AACAAGATAGCACATGACAGTATGTGCAACATCACTAGTAAACCCTAGAAATTGGGGATTTTAGGTAAATTAAGCTTAAACAGGCAACTGGGTGCAATCAAGGCATCCAGAGACCATATAGAATGAGTCATTTGAACCTAAACAACACCCAAATGAGCCAATCGACCTCGAAAGGAGGATAACAGTATATGTTCTTATTAGAGAAGAAGTGGACCACAGTAGAACACTCATTTATGATCCGCAACCTAAACAGACTATATATCCAGTCTGTAGGACCCAACCATTAGCTGAAATGATCGGGGAATGAATAAATAGTTTGCTAATATAAGCGTTAGAGCGAATCATGCTAGCAAGTACTCCCTCCGTTCCATGATTCTTGTCGTGGTTTTAGTTTGAAATTTGAACTAAAACCAAGACAAGAATTATGAAACAGAGGAGTATTAAATAATGCCCTAGCTACAACTACCATGAGTACTAGAACAAGAGCATAGAATCCATGCTAAACAGAAAACCAACAAACCCGGCAGTAATCATAGTGTACAATCAATTAAGCCTACAATAGCACATGACAGTATGTAGAACAGCAACAGTAATCCCTATAAATTGGGGATTTTTGGAATTTACAGTTGTAAACAGCACCCAAATGAGCCAATCGACCACGAAAGTTGCTAGCCCTAATTAGGCATAGTTGTGGCAAGAATACCACAAACTAAGAGCAATTGGAGGTCAGGAATAGAGAAGGAGAGGGAGAGGGGACCTTGAAGAAGCTCCATGGCGTCGTCAATATCAGAGTTGCCCCCCAACCAAGGCGCACCCAGCCCTGTCCTGGAGCGGAGGAGCGGCGTCCGACTGCACGGCCGCGTCGTTGCCCGTGAAGAAGCATAGAGGCCACCTCCTCTCTCGGTGGAAGATGGCGGAGGAAGCAGCGACCGCCCCCGCCTCCTCTCCCGGCGCGAGTGTGGAGAAGGCTGGGTCTTGGGTGGCGAAGGCGCTCACCTGACCCTGGAAGACCTCCGTCCCGATCGCCTTCAGCCGCGCTAGCGCAGATCTGAGAGCCATCTGACCTGGCCGTCAGCCGTGACGACGAGCCATGGGTGGCCACTGAAATTTGTTGAAGAAAGAAAAAGAAATGCTTTAATGATTGATGGCACATAGCACATAAATCACACATGTTTTAACTTTTAACACAAAGGTGTAGCAGTCTGTATGATAGCATGGTTTGAATCAACACACAAACGGTGGTTTGGATCGACGGAGAGGGGAAATGGTGCCCACCTGTACAGCAAGCGAGCAAGTGCACAGGAGACGGGTTTGGTCTTGGGCGGCGCATCCACTTCAAGCATCTTCCATTACGGTGGCGGTGCTTGCTGTCCTTGTGAACCAGCCCGTGCACAGCTGTAAAGGATAATAACAATATATGTTCTTGTTAGAGAAGAAGTGGACCATAACAGAACACTAAGTCATGATCTGCAACATAATAAGACCATATAGATTCAGTCTATAGGATCCAATCATTAGTTGAAACGACCATGGTGTAGTTGGCTACTAAACAGAATAGTGAATCATGCTAGCAAGTACTCATGGAACTACCATAAGTACTGGAAGGAAAGAAAAAAAGCATGACTTAAACACGCCTAGAGTAATTAAGCACGGAAAAAAAATATTTTGAAGATTAACATCACAAATAGCAGCGGCTTGATGGACGGCACACAGCAGATAAGTATAGAACATAAAACAGATGATTTAACAACGCAAAGGAGCAAACATTTCTGCATTACACCAACACAGGCAACACAAAAATCTTGTGTAACCAACCCATGTTTAACACAATGGTGCAGCAGCCTGGGAAGCCTCCCACAGTTCTTCAATGCTCAAATTTGTTGAAGCAAGAAAAATAAATGCTTTAATGATTGATGGTATGGTACACAACAACTAAATGACACATGTCGGTATGATAGCATGGTTTGAATCAAACACATGAACGGTGGTTTGGATCGACAGAGAGAGGTAATGGTGCTCACCTCCTATACAGCAAGTGGAACACATGCGGAGGAGGCAGGTTTGGTCTTGGGGCGGCGGCGGCGGCCACTTCGAGCATCTTCCATCACGGTGGCGGTCCTTGCTGTCCTTGTGAACTAGTCGTGCATAGCTATAAAGGAGAATAACAATATATTTATCTAGTTGGAAAGAAGAAGTGACCACAATAGAACACCAAGTCATGATCTGCAACATAAACAGACCATAGATTCAGTCTATAGGATCCAACCATTAGTTGAGATGGCCATGGTGACAGAATAGTGAATCATGCCAGCAAGTACAGTATTAAATAATGCCCTGGAACTACCGTTTGTACTGGGGGAAAGAAAATCATATAGTCTATGCAAAACAGAACACCAATGAATCAATTAGTAATCATAGTGTCCAATCAATTAAGCCTACAATTAAAGTTATGAGCATGCCTGAAGCTATATACGTAGCACATGAGGTATGTAGAACAGCAACAACAAACCCTAGAAATTTGGGGATTTTACGAAAATTAAGCTCGAACAGACAATTGGGTGCAAGCAACTAGAGTATCCAGGGACCATATGGAATGAGCTATTTGACCCGAATCAACGCCCAATTGAGCCAATCGACCGGAAAAGTTGCGAAATCCTTACTGAACATAGTGATGGCAACGAACTTGGAGCAGTTGGATGTGAGTAATAGAGAAGGAGAGGGAGAGGGAGAGGAGACCTTGAAGAATCTCCATGGCATCGCCAAGATCGGAGTTGCCCCCCAACCGAGCCGCGCCCAGCCCTGTCCTGTCCAGTCCTCGCGCGGAGGAGCGGCGTCTAACCGCACGGCCGCGTGGTTGCCCGAGAAGATGCACACCAGTCGGCGCCCTTCTCTCTCGGTGAAATACGGAGGAGGAAGCAGTGGCCTCCTCCCCCGTCGTGCGACGACAGGAGTGTGAAGAAGGCGTGGCCTTGGGCGGCGGAGGCGGAGGCGTTCACCTGGTCGTGGAGCACGGAGCAGCTCCGTCCCGGCCGCCGTCGGCCGCGCCAGTGTAGATCCGAGCGCCCTCGAATCCTTCATTGTCGAGGACGTGTCCGTCGGCCGCGAAGACGAGCAACCGCGGATCTGGGAGCGCCGCGGCATCCCCTGCTCGATCCGGAAGCAGGGCCACCGAGGGAGAGGATGTGAGGTAAGGAGGAGAGGGTGGAGGCCGGTGGCGGAGCAGGGAGACGGTGGAGGGGAGGAGACGGTGGGCGGCGGCGCATCACCGGGAGAGGGAGAGGGAGAGGAAGAGGAAGAGGCGTTGGGTGCGAGAGGGAGAGGGAGAGAAAGAAGAGCGGCGGCGGTCGGGAGAGGAAGAGATGAGAGGGGTTGGGTGCGGTGTGCTTCTCTTTTTTTCCTTTTCATTTTCAGTTTTGAACTCTGGAAATTTCGGCCAAGCGAGGGGGCTAATTTCCAGATCGATGGCGCGGGTGGGAGCCAAAAATTGTGAAATTTTGTTTCTTTCGAGGTGGCGCGTCGTCTTCGTTGATTGATTGATTGAGAGAGGATGTAAATTTCGGGATGGCGCTACGCTTTGTTGTGGTCTCGCATCACCGTCAGATTTGGTGGACTTATCGGCACCGTTCAAGATATACATGTTCCACTTTTTTTTAAAGATATACATGTTCCACTTTTTTTTAAAAGATATACATGCTCTTAGAGTAAAATAAAATGTAAAATTTGACGGATCTCAATGTGGATCAACGGTTCTCTACGTGGTCCGAGAACTAAGAGGTCCTAGGGGATTGAGAGTCAGTCACGACAAGATAACAAAACCACTAACGATGTAAAATATTCGAGTAACAAAACCGCAAACTCAATCTAAGATGCAGTGTAAAAGATCCAATAATTGCATAAAGCTCATTGGAGAAGTAGATAATGCTTCCATACAAACAAAGCTAAAACAATAACATCCTTCCCCTCGTTGCTGGTTTCTCCATAGATAGATCTTGGTGACACGTAGGAAAATTTTAAATTTCTGCTACGTTCCCCAACAAGGTTATTTTGGGTTTGCTACGGTGCCCCTTGGTTAACTATCTCTCTCCGTCTTGAATTTTAGGGTGGGCTCATCCCTTAACTAATCATAAGCTTCCAACTAATCCCATTTGTAGTGTTTATAAAAACCAGTTCTAGCATTACTCATAAAATACTCCCTATTGCATCTTTTATTTTTGATATGGAGGGAGTACACAACTTCAAATCAACTATTGTTAGGACTGAAACTATCCTTGAATGCGTGACAGAAGATTGGGGTGACCCGATCATGCTTGCCACATTCTGATCGCAGTTCACACACGCTGATTGAACATTGAGCAGCTCCGTCGCACTGATGGACACATGGAGGATGCTCATGGGTAACTAATATGGTTCCTAATTACTCATGACCCGAAAGAGAAGAGTTGCTTATGTAAAAGCAATATTTTCAATTTGACTTATCTCGCAGTGTCATGTCTTGCACATACTCCGTTCCGTGAGTGGTTCATCTTCGATTGATATGGCTAGGTTGTCGTTGCAAAGCATCGTAACAATTTCTCTCCACGCTTTAAAGGCATGTCCATTTGGTTGTCAAAAAGAAAAAGAAACAATTATCCCATTGTCTAAGAACTTTACTATTTGCTCTAAACTATACCATTATATTATTAATTTCCTTGTGCAGTGTACAAAAAAAATGGTTTGCTCTTAGAGTAAAATAAAAAGTAAAAGTTGACGGATTTCAATGTGGATCAACGATTCTCTACATGGTCTGAGAACTAAGAGATCCTAGGGGATGGAGAGTTAATCATGGCAAGATAACAAAACCACTAACGATGTAAAATATTCGAGTAACAAACCCGCAAACTCAATATAAGATGCAGTGCAAAAGATTCGATAATTGCATAAAGCTCATTGGAGAAGTAGATAGTGCTTCCATACAAACAAAGCTAAAACAATAACATCCCCTTGCAATTTTTATAAAAGAACTACATGAATAATAAATCAATCAGTCTATACCCCTCGGGATTCCCAATAATTGCCTCGGTTAGAAAACGGCACACAAGCATGAATCCAGACACGGCAACGAACAGGCCTATCATACCCACGACATGTCCAATAACACGCAATGCTCGACCGGCAAAGGTTGCCGGATGGAACTGTACGACGAGTAACATCAGGGTGAAAAAAATGGTGATGATAACAAGCTCGACAAGGACCGCGTAGCACAAACACGCACATCTGCTGCATTGCTCGGGCTCCGCGGCTGCGGCGAGTCCATCGGGATTAGGGAAGTCATGGGACGGTATACAAATCCTTTGTATCCATGTCCACATCTGGGGCCGGTCGGGTTGTGCTCGGACTTCGACGTCGCCGGCATCTCCGACTTCGATGTCGATCATCTCTATACCATCCATGGTGTCACTCGATTGACCGGGGAGATGAAATCAGAGAGAAAAACAGCGCCGCCGCCCTGCTTTTCACCAGAAATCAGTATATACAATGGCGTGCTCGCATGTATATCCGGATGGACTATTGAATTTTCTTTTCTTGGGGATGACCCTTTAGATTTAAACCGGCCGGGAGACAAATCCTAACAGACTGGGTGGGGTGGGGCCTCCTGACGCGCTGCTTGTCGCCATTTGTCACAAGATTTTCACGCACGTAAAATTTTCTCTCCTCCCCAATCCAAGGCCCAGCCCGGCGTACATGGCTTACGGAGGTACACTGCTTTTGCTTTGTTACGTGCAGGGATAGCTGCCATTGTGACGCTGACGCACGTACGTCGCTGCACCCAGCTGCCCCCTCCCGTTTCCTTTCAAGACCATATATATCGTCTGCTACGGGCGACGCGCGCATAAAGTAACGTGACAGCCCTTAATTAATTATTAGCTAGGTACTTTTAAAAACACCATCGAATAAACTTTAGCTTGTTATTTTTTTTATAACACAACAATGATGCTCATACATAAGCATATACACTCATTCCTCTGAACGCACGCATACCCTATCCTAGGAGCATCCCTAGAAATTGAGTCAGCACATCATCTTGAGATTGATGATGGAAACAATGCAACTCCGATTCTGACAAATAGCTACGAACGGGAACTATGCAAGGATGGATCCTGCCTGTTTCCACCTATACCCCGTAGTCATACCTCCGACTTCACAGAAGAAAAATCCGAAACAATCCAGTGGACACGTCAGAGAAGAACCGACTGCCATAACCATTGCCACGACGCTAAGATCACCGCCAACCACCGAGATCGTCGCAATGACCCTACCATCCTCACACATCCATCAGTCCCTCCAACCGGTGCAACTCCAAGAATGATGATCCCGGGGGAGCATGACGCATGAAGTCACCATTGTGTGATTACGATGAGATGAATATATTGCCATTTTCAAAATAAAAACACATGCCTTCCGAGTGTTTAACAAGAGCAAAATCTACCATTCTATTCATCGTATCAAGGGCCTCTTTTATAAAATTGAGGGGCGAGAAGGAACACGCGAGGCACAACAATGATCAAGCCTATCATATCCATGATGTGTCCAATGACACACAATCAACCGTGGTTGCCGGATGAGAGAATTTGAAAAACATCATAAAGGTGACGATAATAAGCTTTGTGAGGCCGGTGAACACAAAAGGCACTGCTATGTTGCTCGGTCTATGCTGTCATGGGAGACTGTCAAGGTTATTGTTATCATGCAGAGACATCACAATCATTCCTTTCAATGCCAAAACACATGTTAGTTGGACTGCACAAACCTTAATCTAATTATTTTGGTCCTCTGAAAAAATTATTAATTTGTTCATACAAATATGTAAAAATCTTCATGAGAGCAAAAAAGAAAAATATGGTGTGTCCTTATAGCAAAAAAGGTGAATCTTAAGTATATCTCAACGTGGAACAACGGCTATGGCATCGACGGATAACTAACAGATTTCAAGTGATTGAGAATTACTCGTCGAAGAACACAGATTCATTAACTCGATAAAACATACTGTGCAAAAGTCGGTCAATCAAATATATACATATATAACTTATTAAAAATTAGATAACAAACTCATACATACGTCCATATTTGAGCCCCGAACTATCCCATTTGTCTAAGAATCAACCCCGAACTTTGAATCTGTCTAACTTTCAATTCTAAACTATCAAAATCGTGCAAGATTCAACTTGATCTCTCCTTGAACCAGTATTTGGTGACCACCTGGCCATGCATCCTAGTCAGCCGCCAGGTACAAGCAGACAAAAGTTTCGTACATTACACCAAACCAATAACAAGCCATGGGAGTCTTTTTCAAATTAAACGAACAAATCTATGGTTCTATTCCCCTCTGTATTTCCGAGAAGGGCCTCGCCTATAAAACGAATAACAAGGAGTTCTCCAATGGGGGCAATGATGAGCAGTCCGATCATAGACACGATTCCTACAATTACACGAAACGCTTGACCAACAGAGGTTGTCGGATGTAAGTCTACGCAGAACATCCAAAGGCGGACGGAAGCGGCACCAACGATGAGCTCGGTGAGTATCGCAAAGCACAAGTAGGCATATCTGCTACATTGAGCAGGCTCCGCTGCCTCGACGGGTTCATCCGCCGGGTTTGGCCTGTCTTCATGAGGCAACACAATCCTCTCGATCCTCTCGCGCCATGTTCGAAAGAGACGTCGATCCGGTTGTGCTTCGCCGACGCCGTTGCCACCATGGTCGGGGTTTTCGCCGTTGCCACCATGGTCAGGGTTTTCGACGTCGATCATCTCTATGCCCTCCATGGCGTCGCTTTGATTGCTTTTCTGCAGTATTGCTCGGATGCTCTGCCGGGAGAGATTGAAATTATAGCGTAGCTCAAGTGGATCCGTACGTATGCCGGGAGAGATTGAATTGAAGTTAGAGCAACTGAGGCAGACCCGTACGGCAAGGAAGCTAAAATTTCCGGTCGCATGTATGTAGCACAAGATGGCGTTCGGCTGGAGCTCGTATATGCATGCATAACCGACTCGAATTACCAAGGCTAACCAAAACACGATTGATTTATGAGTATGTTATATACTGCACGCTATATTGCTTCAAGTAGTAGGACTCTTCTCTCTCGAAAAAGAAAAAAAGTTGTTGAACTCTTTATTAACATTAATTTAAATTGGATTTAACTGTAATCCCGACCAAACTACTCGGACGGACGGATTTCACTAGCGTGATTGGTCAATAGGTGAGCGAAGCGGCCCATCCCTTAAAAATCAGGGGGAGAGAGGTCTGTGATTGGTTGTTAGATGGAAGAAGCGTGTAAAAACGTGTAAGTCTTCGTATGTCTAGCATTTTTGTTTCACTAGTGGCAAAATTGTTGGCGCTTGACGCAAATAAATTCTCTCCTGTCCCGGCCGAGAAACGCGGCTACGGGAAGAGGTTTCGCTTTTCGTGCGGGCCCTGGTGACGCACGTAGGCACATGCATGCATGCATGCACCCGTACGTCCGGCGGCTTGGCTTCAGAATACAGGATCCGGCTTGCCTGCTTCCTCTCCATACTTTCATCCGTATTTCCATTTCATCCTACGGCTGTCTTTTTCCTTTTCTTTTTCTAGTCTAATCATCTCTCCCCTAATTTTAAGGGGTGGGGCCGGACCTTATTTTGTTCCAATCAAATTAAGCTATGTACGCAGGAGCACGGATGGGCACACGCGAGGGGAACAGGCAAGTCTCATCCCAAAATACAATACTTTTTTCACCTGGCACAAGGCGTGGTTAATTCTTTCTTTCTCATTGTTTTTGATACGGTATCGATGCCAAGAGAACAGGCGTGAGTAAATTTACATTTACATTTGTGCAAGGAGACAACATGTGTTTTCTTCCAGTTTTTGGGCTCCTCACAGCGATCATTTGTTAGTATTCCGAGACATAATTATAGATTTAGCCTTGTCACAAGAATTTAAATTCTATTGGACAATAAGAGCATCTCCAGCCGTTGGCCCCTCAGGTGCGCCTAAAATCACCGTCTGGGGGTGACCTGGCGCAAAAAATGGGCCTGGGGCGAGTTGGTCCCCAGCTGCCGGCCTCAGGCGCGTTCAAAAAATAAAAATACATAGCAAATTTAGGCAAAGTTCGGCGAAGTTCAGCTAAATATGACAAATTTCAGCAAACTTGGGCATATATTAGACATGTTCGCGGATTTTCATTACATATATAGCAAAAATATAAACTAATCTAAAAAAATTGGTTGAATGCCGAGTAATCACCGTCGTTGCCGTCATCGTCGGCCTTCTCCTCCTTGACGCGGGCGCCCCTGCTGGACCTCTCTTTGGCGTCGCCATGGCGGACTGGTGGCGGCGGCGGCGCGGCGTCATCGTTGTTGTCGTCGATGACGACGACTCCTCCTTCGTCGCAGCCTCGGCGACGCTGCGCGAAGCGCCGCAGGGCGGCGCACTGGCGCTCCCTCGCCATCTTCAGGGAGTCCTGGCGTGCCCATTCAAGGGCCGCGTTGTCGTCGAGCTCGACCTCGCCTTGCTCCGTTTTCACGGCAGGGAGACCCGGCTCCGTCTTCACTAGCGCGAGCCCCAGCTCCGTCTTTGCCTTGACGAAGCGCGGAGGAGGAGCCAACGAGGAGGCGCGCCGGCCGCCCTCGTTCATGACGATGCCGGCGCTGCAAGTGCGCCAGCCGAGAGGCGTCTTCGCCGCGGGCTCGGCCTTGACGCCGAGCAGCGTCGGAGTGCCGGAGGAGTGGGAGGAAGAGTGCGATGAGGAAGAAGAGCAGGAGGAGCCAAACCTCCTTGGCGCCCATTGCCCGTCGCGTCGGCGGTGCGCCGGGGCGTCATCCCTTGCCTGGGGTACGCCAACGGCGGGTTATTGCCGCCCTTGAGGTGCGTCAGCACGTCCTCAAGTGTGCGGCCGGGGGCGCCCCACCACAGGTGGCGCCCCTCGCTGTTCTTCAAGCCGCCGACCACCGCCGCGTCGTTGGTGGACGCCAGCCGCTGCTGCTGACGGCGCTCGAAGTACGCCGCCCAAGCCGAGTAGTTGTCGGCGGCGTACTGGGAGGGAGAGTTGGGCGTCGGTGAGGGAGGCGCGCACGACCTCGACCTCGTTGACGAAGTAGGAGGGTTTAGCCACGGCGTCAGGCAACGGGGGAATGGGCACTCCCCCGTTGCTGAGCCTCCAGCCCGTCGGCCCGGCGCGCATGTCCGATGGCGGCGGGATGTTCGCCTGGAACTCTTGTTCGCGGAGCGTGCGGCAGCCGAAGTCGTTGGCTGCCGCCTCGTCTCCGGGGAAACGCTCGGCCATCGGGAAAGGGGAGGGAGATGGAGGGGTTGGGCGGCGGCTCACGGGAGAGGGAGAGGGAGGGCTAGGGAGGGCTCGGCGGCGGCGCTCGGGAGAGGTAGCGCTCATCACAGGCGAGCGAGGCCATATATAGCC